GGGGGGGGGGGGGGGGTCTTCGACCTGAAAAATCAGGGGTTAGGATTAGCACCCGGTCGAAAGAAACCTTGCTATCGCAAGAGTAACTCCAGCTAGCTTCGCTAGCTTTCGTGAATACTTACCACTGACCACCCAACAACTGTCTGGAGCTCATAGCGGGCGTTTTCCCAAGCATTGGAAATCCAAAAGAAAACCACTTCCAAGTTGATTTGCCGGCTCTGACACACATGTATGGTGATTGGGCCCTTGTCCCATTCCAAACGTGAATTCCCCATATCCCCCTTTCTCATGAGTCGAACCTCAAAAATTGTTTGAGCACCTGTGTTAGTACACGCCGCTAAGCACAGCTGCATTGGTCATCGAAACCAACGACACTTGCACCCAACCTGGTCAGAGCACCGGGTTTTGGAGTCAAATCATCAGTCTCTTTGTGAAGCCTGGCACCGTCGATCGCGGCAAATCATGGCAGCAGGCAGCCGAACAATACGGTGCAAAAATATGCAAAATACCGCCAAGTGCACAACTTATGCGTGGCAACGCTCTGCTGTCAAGCAGCGTCTGACACGCACATGGTTCCAACATGGCTCTAGGTTCTGAGCTGGAATGACGGGCCTTGTTCTGCCCTTGACCTGTCATGAACCCAAGCACGGCTGTGCAAATGGTTTACTGGCAACCCTGGGGCCATCACCATACCGGGGTTATCACAGGCTACTCAGTGCCCATACCAGGATGAATTTGAAAACGAATGAAAACGCTGCGACAATCACCCGGCCTGAATTTCAACGCGTCGTCAAGCCAAAGGCAAGCCTTGCGATCAAATTTCCCTCCCATCATGAACTGGCCAGGAGGGCTAGTTTATGAATCCAATGCATATGGTATAATGAGCCTCCGACCGTCGTACAAATGATGCACACACAACATGGCATCGTGGCGACACACACGAACACGAAGGGCAACCCTTTGCTGGCTTTGGTTAGTTTCACATCAGTTCTCATAGCGGAGCGCCAGAAGGAAACCCAGCAAATTGCATCAAATTGCAACATTTTCCTTCATCTCTACCAGGCGAAACGTTTCAGTCTTTGGTTGGCACCCTGACGTTCGACCAGTTCCTCGGGTCCTGCTGTTTTTTGTGTTGGTCCCGGCTGCTATCTGTCTATGACGCCCACTCAAAATGCCAAAGTGTTAGGGCTTACACTTGAACCTGTAGGAAGTGCGCTGCGCCAATTCAAAGGGAACGGCACACTCCGCGGCCTGGCACGCGAACGAGGACTGCACTGCGGCACGTGAAACCTTCCAAATTGTTGCCTGACCAAGGTGCCAGCTCAATGCTGAAAGTCTTGCGCCTGTCTCAGGTGCAAATATTGTCTCATTTCTCCCCACGTTTTCTGCGTCCGGCCCAAGAAAAACCTTGTCAGGTTAGTTGAGTGTGTTTGTGGCTGGGCAACACTACAAGCAAAATCCGGAAGAACAGGAGTAGCTAAACGGAACGAAAACCCGCCCACAACAAGCCCAAGTGTCTTGAGCACGGGGTGCCATGAAAGGCGAAGGGCATGGGGAGCGGGAGGCAACAACGTGCGCAGATCAAAGGGATCCCCTCTCTTTTTGGAGGCCGACCCCACATAGCAAACCATACTACTCATTCGGTGTGGGACGAGTGTTCCACAAGAGCGCTTCCACAAAAAACGTGTCCTACAAGAGCGTCCGACAATGGTGCATGCCAACGTCTGTTGACTGAAAATGCGTGCGATCTATCATCGCCGTCATGAATATGGCCCAAAAGGTGCAATTTGGAAACAAGGCGTCCGTCTCAGCAACCTTTTGCTCACCAATTGTGTACCTGGGCTGTGCTTTATATATATCGTATCTTTAGCTAGGCGCTTTCCGTTTCTGGCTAGACCAACGGCTGCTGGAGTCAAAAAATTCATACATCATAATATTTCACTCTGATTGTTGCGATTTTTTTTCTCGCCCCTTCTTGGCGCATGAAGGTCAGATGGGGGGGGGTTCCGCCGCTGACCAAGTGCCGGGCCACTTGGATTTAGGGTGGCGGTGAGTCAAAAGGCCAGGGGGGGGCCCTCAAGGTCGTAGAGGGAGGCGGGATGCCTGGGGCGGGGGGGTGGAGGGGCAGTGTTCGAGCAAGGTGCTCAGGGGTATGGTTTCGCCATCTGGGCCGATGTGGGTTGCCGGGTCTTGCATGGTGAGACTGGCTGCAAGGGGGATTTGTGCAACATGTGGTTAATAGGGCGGACCACCTCGCGATGGATGCTTGGGTGGCTGCTGATCGTAAAGCCGCGGGGGCGGCTCGGCTTCGGGCGTGCGCGAGGCGCCGGATGAAGTCCGCAGCTTCTTCAGCACGACCAATCGGCAACGGTCGCCCCGCACGAGTTCTGGGTATGTGCGTTCTTTGGCTTCTCCTGCTGCCCGGAGCGCGGGAGTGCCCCATTGTGTATAAGGGGAAGCCGGTTGGTGGTTGTGACGTTGAGGTCTGTCACGAGGACGTGTGTCCGCACTCTGGCGCCTGCTTCTCTGCAGACCCGTGCGGCTGCCCTTTCTAAGGGGCCTGCTCTGCTCCTCAACGCCCCCGATGTAGCACACACCGCGCGGTGATCGCCGAGGAGTCAAGAGGGCGACGGCACCGGCAGTGACGAGCTGTGAAAGGGAGCGGGAGGCGGAGGCGCCTCAACATCAGAATGCGGAACAGGTCGGAAGGGTATGCGAAATCCAGGCTGGAAGGGATGGTTGTGAATGCTTGGGGCAAGTGAATGATGCTGGCGCTGAAATTTGGCAGTTGCTGGATGTTGCTGGTGCAGTACTGGGAGTGTGTCAGCCCATGAAGCATCATGAAACCCAGTAAGCCGGTTGTGCTGTGACAGTGGCTGCAAGCAAGCCTAGCCCGCCTTGGGTGAGAGGCAGGTGAGCTGTGGCCAATGTTGTTGATGGAAAATCGGTTAACCCCAGAAGGGTTTGCAAACATTCCGCTATGTTGGTGTCATGGCGCAAGGCGAACTCTTGCGTGTGTTGGGGGGGGATGGTGCGGAGGATGTGGTTGCAGCGAGGGCTGGCACAGAAAGCAAAAGCAGCCATGAAGACTGCAAGTCTTCCAGTGCTGGGATGCATTCGGGGAAGCTGTGGTGGCTTTCAGTGGTGTGCTGAAGCTGGTGGGCCACATACTGGGGGGAACCACACGGGGTGCACAGGATGGTAAGCCCTTGCTCGTTGCTTGGGAGGCTGCGGTCGCCCACCCATACATTGGACCCCAGCGGGGCAAAATCCGGGGGTGTGGCCCCAGCTGCGTTCCACACACGTGTTTTGCCCCCATTGAGATGGATGCCTGTACGTGTGGACAACTCATGGGCAGTGATGTCGTATACCGTGCCGACACGGTCGGGCATGACCACAGCATAGATGTCATCTAGGAAAGCCAACAGTAATTCTGTGGGGTGGAGCTGGCGTTGGATGGCTTGCAGGGCACCTTTTTGTCCCGAGGGAAAATAATGCGGGCATCAAAGGGTCCCCTTGTTCTCCCCCTTCTGCTTGGGTGATGGTGTGGTCGTGGCCGTGGTTGTCGTGCCAGACGTACTCCAAGGGCTGGCCGTAGAACATCCGCACGAAAGGAAGGTTGCGATTGGCTGTGGGGACTGGCATCAAACCTTGCAACATGGCATCCCTGGAGGTGTGGGCTGGGTGTGCTTCTGTGGAAGCAGAATGTGTGGATGGATGATGGCTTCTGTCCCTGCCCGCGTGGAGAGTGCAAATTGGTGCGGAGAGCAGGCCGTGTGGATTGCTGCTGCATAAGTTTGTGCCAAGGTGCGGGAGACCAATCGACGAAGCACATCTCCAATGATGATCCCTCGGACCCGGCCGTTTGGTTTTTGCAGGGCGACAACGCGTCCGAGGCCAAGGCATGGGATGATGCTAGGTGGAACCTCCGCTAATAGCCCGGCAACTGCTGTGAGCCGTTGCGTCGCTTCCTCGTCATCCAGGACTAGCCGGAGTGTGTCAGTACTTGTGTCAGTTGTGAGGCTCGAGGGGCGAGGTGCTGCGCCTCGTTTGGATCGGCGAAGGTTGTGGACTACGGTGTGGGCAGGCAAATGGATTGGCTGGTCTGGCTGGAAGTTGCTGACGTCAGGGCTGAGTGGTTGGTACGGCTCTGGTGGCCTGCGGGCGGGATCACGCAATTCCTCCAAGGTGCTGGGTGTGCCTGGCGCTGCGGGACCGGCTGTCAGGGCTT